AGAGTTGCTCAGTACAAAAAACCTGCAGCAGAAACCAAGTCCTTCCGGTGGCTAAATGGCTAGGTCTGTGCACTTCTATGCCAGAGACCTGGGTTCAAACCCCGAACAGGAGCTGATCAGACAGGAATGTGACAACTAGCAGGAAGACCATGCAAGGGCAAGGTCTGACTGAGCTGAGTGGTTTATATATAGTGAGTGGGGTGACATCATCACTCAAAGACAGGAAACTCCCATCTGGCTCTCTCAGATGATGCTCTCCTGTCTGGCCATAAGAGGGAGCCTGGGAGAAGTGAGCAATGTTCCAGAGTCTGCTCAGGCAAAGAAGGAAACACAGGTGGCTAAAATGGCAGCCAAGCCAGAATGCTGCAAACCAGTAAAGTCAGGGTGGAACCCTGACACAAGGCCAATTAATCACACACTTCATTCAGTGATTTATAATTGACATATTTAATGGGGATGTCGCTATACCGATCCTACAACTGGTATCGGGGGCTGATGCAGGGCATTTTCATGAGTATTTGTACTCTTGAAAATGCTCCGATACTAAAGGCAGGGCTCAACTCACCTGCTCGTGGAAATTTGGGTCTCCAAGTACCGGTCCGCGGACCAACTCCGGCCCACGAGCCGGTACTATGTGGCCCGCAGCCAGCTGACATGTCAGGCACACGATCTCAGACCGTGTATCTGACTTGCGGGAGCAGCTCCAGGCTTCCTTCGGCCGGAGCTCTGACAGTTCTGAGCTCCGGCCGAAAGAAAGAATGTATGTGAGGAGGATCGATCCCTGGTTATCTGCTGCAGACCTCACAAATTACCCCCAGATAACCAGGGATCGATCCTTCTCACAGCCTCCTCCCTGCAAAGATGTGAGGGGGGTTGAGTGTATTATCATTTTGCGTGTGGGGGGTTAATAAGAGGGGAGTATATTATTTTATGTGTGACGTACGATCTGCCCATCTTGGACAGGCAGATCGTACTTGCAATCATCGCAAGCCTGCTGAGGGGAGGGCTTCCGATGATTGCAGTGCTGAGAGGGCAGTGCACGCTTGCGCACACCGGCCTGTGTGGCATTCATCTTCCGAGCACGCCACCTACCAGCCAAAAATCGTACGATTGTCGGCAGGTTTTCCAGCATGCTCGGAAGACGAAAGTCGTGCGACCTTACAGAAGTTGTGGTCGCATGCTGCCCCTACACCTGCCAATTATTGTACGATCGTGCAAACACCCACAACTATCGTACAATAATCGGCAGGTGTATGGGCCCCATTCACACCTACAGTATATTTCAGGTGTGATTAGAGATTCCTGTGTCAGGAACTTGCGTTTTCCTGCAGCAGGAATCCCTAATCTGCCGTTTACAAGCGGCAACTATCATAAGATAATGGCAGCCTGCTGGGGACTTCACAGCAGCTGTTTTTGACAGCGCTGGTCTGACCTCACATCTCCTCTTTCCAGGTGCCCACAGAGACTGGCAAAGCACAAATATCTAAAAGCCTGAATGAATATTGTCCTTCAACAAGTCAAAGTCTTCAACACCATGTTTAGAAAGTCTAAAATTCTAAACTCCATGCACACCTTGCTACGATTTCTCAATGTCATCTTTTTTTACCTATCCTATAGGCAAACATTTACTTTTCTTCTCATGCAAAGAATTTGCATGCTTATACCCTGAGTTACTAAACTCAAAGTTGGAAATGTGACATTTCATATACATAGATGACAGGTTAACAAACTCTAACCTCTGTCTCTATAGTCACGTGTAGCTCTCAACACTCTCTAATTATTTAAGAAGCAAAGAAAAGAATGACTAATTAATATATGCACTCCAGGTAACTGAAAACCAAATATTAGTAAGACATACAGGAGACATAACATGTCTGCCAAAGACTTCTGTTATTCTTACAAGCCATCCTGCTGGTGAAATTTCCTTATTGACAGTAACCTTGGGTTGAGGATCACCATCCACTAAGCGGCTTGGCTTCCTATTATTGATGTACAGCACTAACTCAGATGGCCAGGGGGCTATACTCTAACCAAACCTCCTTTGAGTATGTTGCAAAATGTGGTTGCACTTGAATTATATAGAACTTAAATAAAAAGGTACAATGGTGACGAATCAATTCTGTTGTACAGCATAAAGTGTGTGAGGCAGATTATGAGACAGGTTTACTGCTCAATTCATAAATTCAATTAATAACACAATGGACAAATGTGAACCTGTCCTGAAGAAAAATTGTAAGCTGCCTTCACGCATCGTGCTTTGTTGCATTACCTCATGCACATTATCATGTTTTGTGCTTTATGTTAACATGAGTTAAATTAAGACAGCCCATTAATTTTGAATGGGCTGCCAATTCACCACAACATACCCAAAATTGCACATGATCTTTTTTTTTCATTGCAATACACCACTATGTACAAAATATGCACTGGAGTATGCTGTACTATGGATCTAATGCCCATCATACTATAGTGCTGTTAGGTGCCATTCACAATAAATGGCACTGCACAGCACCACATTTGGAGTCATGATTTGGCAGGTTGCAATAACGTGCTTTAAAACACACATTTTAACACACATTCCTCAATGCAACATTATGAATGGGCCCTCAAGGGCTTCATTTAAGTATAATGCTAAATAGAGGGCGCAGTACGGGCCACTTCACACATGTTTAGTGCGTGTTGCAGTATGTTACTGCATGCATGTTATAGAGATCCAGTCACACACATCACCACAACTCAAAAAAAATCACACATGATCCTTTTTTTTTCGAAGCAACACACCCACATTTGACAGGTGGTTGCCATCTGTGCAATGTAGTACGCTGAACACACATGGGTTTAGGTGCGATGGGGTGCCAATCAAAATTGATGCCTCTGCGGATTGGGTGTTACCATAACGCTTAGGTGTGAAGCTAGCTTCCAGATTTTTGATTTTCTCCATTTCCCAAAAGGCACATTTTAAATATTTGATATTTATTAACTCAATTCAGTTTTATCTTTTACATTGAGTAGGAATTTTGTAGGTTATGTATTGTTTGTGTGCACTAAATTTTCTTTTTTAAAACAATATGTTCCTTTATATAGTTTAGCAAATATCGTTGGGTAGTCAGCAGCTTTATCATTGTTTTAGGTGCTCTTTTTTATTTTTTATTGGTTCACCATCTCATATTGTGTTATTAATTCCAAGTGTGGCTCACAAGCTGAAATTGAGTGAGCACGTTTTTAGTAGACAATAGAGATCCCTGAACATTGGCACAGAAAACTGAATTTAGATACACTTTATTAGCAGTAACAGCCAGGACAACGTATTTCTTATATTACAGTTTATTATCAAAAACATTGTTACATATTAAAATATTTACTAATTATCTACTGCAATAGGTTACACATGAATATGTTAAAATGCACAACTGAGTGTAATAAAATGTGTTTCACTTAAGATTACTGGACCTCTATACAGATAGCTGTATAAGGTAACTCTCACAAATGATCTGCTTCTGAAAACTTCTGAAATGTCCTCCTCTGTGCACCCTTACAGTCTCCAAAACTAAATCAGGTTTAGTATGTAATGAACAACTTTTCTCAAGGACAGCACTCAGCCACGCTTCCCTGCATCCCACAGTCCAATGGGCATACTATTCAAAGAATCCTAAGGCACCCATTGTGGTTTGTGTGATGTTGGAGGCATATGGTTTGCTGTCTTGTACTGTTTATATTTAGACAAAGCAATGTGTGTTAGCTTAGGCAGACATGATGTCTTCAACAAGTCTGGGAGTTGCTGCATTCATTTACTGGCTCCACCTGACTTCTCCCAGAGGCAAGTGCACAGAAGGATACAAAAAAGAAGCATAGATGGTCATGTGACCTCTTTTTCTCTCAGGTTTTAAGGCAGAAAAAACTTATATAAATATTAAAACAATGGCAGAAAGCTGCACAGCAGGAAGTGCAAATATAAAAATATAGATTGCTGCATACTGGAGTTTTGCATTTAGGCTGGCTATATACCATATCATTCCCACTCAACAATGAAAGTGTTCTAGCAAACTGGCCAGTTATTGACTGTTACAACTTAAAGAGATCAAACAGAATGTCACATCCAGACCTGAAGCCTGATGGGCAATAAATGAACATTTCTATTGGCTGTGGGGTTTGGCTTCCATAAAAGCTTTAGGGAGTAAGAGAGGAGGACCTAAATAATTAGTTCCTCAGGGTGATGGCTGACTGGTATAATAAATAAAACTAAATATGTTATATCTTTGAGTACTTTATATTGGTAATTATGATGATAAATCTAATTTAGGGAATAGAAAATATATACAAATAAATACAAAGTTGTAAACCTGGATCATTTTATAATAAAAACGATAATAATAGTAATATAATAAAAACAAATTGTGCATAACACTGAAAATTTTACGTATAACCATAAGTTATAATACTGCAAATAATAAAATAGTGATGATAGATAGATAGATAGATAGATAGATAGATAGATAGATAGATACTGTAGATAGATAGATAGATAGATAGATAGATAGATAGATAGATAGATAGATAGATAGATAGATAGATAGATAGATAGATAGATAGATAATTAGGCACTGCAGAAACATTCAAGTCTTGGCAGGTCATATACAGTACTATGTCACATTCAAATATTTCAAATAAACCCTATTTTTTCAGACAGTTGTACATTTTTGTGGAGTTTTAAAATTGTAAAAATGGAACTAACATGACTTTTAGTATTAAAAAGAAACTGGAATGATGATACTCCTTAATTATTATTTTTTTGGCAGTTACCCATAGTCACTGTAATTTCAACAAATTTTGGTGATTAAAATTTAACATTTTATATCTGGTATATATTGAGAAAATAATACAAATAAACACAGACTCATCATAAGTTGTAGGTCCTTTATGAATGTTTTTCATTTCTCATATATGGATTCTGGGATTGTCATAATGTGTAGTGTGTAATGCCTTGCAGGATAGAATTGTGTTCAGAAATCTTGATCCCACCCAGACATCTCATCAGGGGGTATTTCATCATCTGGTGGATAGCTGTCAAAATAACTATGATCCAAAGGGCCATCCAGCTAGAAGTGCAAAAGGAAACAGAAATGAAAAATGACTTGTGTTTAAAGATGATGTGTTTTTAATACTAAACTTCCCAGTTACAGCTAATTAACCTTGTTGGATGATCTTGAGGTTTCTGACGATTTGAGATATCTGCAATTCTGTTCTGCTTCAGTTAGAAGAACCCCCATATGAAGACATTTACATAGAACATTTGTTTTTTTTTCTAATAAAATCAGGAATACAATGTTCTTGTACAAAAACAGTAAATATAAAACATGAACACACATCATGTGGAAGATGATGACTGTTTGAACCTTTTTGATTGTGTGGCAATACATTTCTGCTTTCTTATTATTGGGCCTCTAGGACTTATGTATATAATATTTCCCTATTCTTGCCCCAATTTTTTATAGGATACACTGATTCTGACACCCATTTGTAATGATGTTCTGGGGAATTTTGGCCACTGTTTATCAAGAGTGAAGATTTTGCTGATAATTTTTTTCCCTAAGCCTGGCTTAACCGATTCACTCTTGTAATTTCTATATTACCGTTCCTTAGCATGATGCCCCCTGCTGAGGATGCGTTAAAAAAAGTAATCTCTCTGACAGCCAGCAGCTGACAATCACAGGCTGCTGGCTGTCAACCCTAGCTGCCTTTGAGATCTTCAGTTCCCACTAATGACCAGGAACCAATTAGAGTGGTTCTCGATCATGTGATCACTATGTTAGTTGTGACATAATGATTATATGCAAATTGACACCTTCATAAAAAAAAATGTAAGTTAAATTGCATAACTGAGAGTAATAAAATATGTTTCATTTAAGAGTATGGAACCTGTCTACAGGCGGCAATAGCAGCCACTATAAAGTTTGATAACACCCGCCAAAAATGATCTGCTTCTGAAATTTCCTCCTCTGTGCCCCCTGACATAATATGTAGGAACTCTATGGATTACTATACTTATCTTATACAATTATAGTATTAAAACAATATTTGTTCACTGGTTAACCTATAAAAAAAGAGAGCAGGGTTTAAAAAATATAGTGTATTAAATTAAATCCTTATACATCCTTAAAAATGGAAAAATTACGTAGGGATATAGGTTGGCAAATTAGTCACAGAATTACGGCCCGTTCGCACAAGCTCATCCAAAAGAATGAAACATTTTAGCGGGTGGGCTAGTGCATTATGACAGCTCCAGCAGTGTGCCGTGTATTGTGCGTTGCTGTAGCTGTCACTATTTAAATATCTATTTTTTAAACTTTATTGGTAGTTTAAAATGTGTTCCGCATGACCTGCAGTGGCATCCAATGCGATGCTAAAAAATTCAGCATATCTGCATTTTTCTGCAGCATAGTGCACCGCCCATCACACCTGCATTGTGGTGTGAATAGGACACATAGAAAACAATTATTTTCAATGTGCCCTAGTGACCTGGGCTATTATAGTTAAGTTTACTAATGCATACTGATTCTGCTATATTTGGCCAGGTCCATATATGCTTCAATCACCTCTGATCAGGTTAAAGTGTATGTAAACCCTAAAGCTGCCTATACACCTTGCGGTCATCGGACGACACTTTTCGTCTGATGATCAAACCGTCGTACGATTTACGTACGGCGGCCCCATCCTGCCTTGATTTTCGCAAGGTTGGATCAGCGGTAATTAAAAGAAATCACCTGAATAAATTGCGGTAATCGACCAGACGTATTTCTGTCTGCACATGTGCAGTGTAAATCATACGAATTTTGATGTACGGAAACTCCCCCAACCTTGTGAAAATTGCACGATCGTCCGAAGTTTTCTAACCTACTGCCCATCCACCTTACGAATATCGGCCGAAAACACGATCGCATAGGAAAATCGGCTGATACTCGTAAGGTGTATGGGCACCTTTACAATTAACTTTTCTTAATTGCTCCCTTCTGGTCTGTTAAATCTAACTCTAAAGGCATTTTGTTATATGCATTCAATAAGTAAAAAAAACAAAAAACTGTTAATCATATAAGGAATTTACAGATGTCCTATGTCCTGTGCACACTTCCTGTGTTAGTTCAAGGAGTCTAATTAGTGCTGCCAGTTCTTATCATCGGCTACAGAACAATTACTACCTGGGTTTAGTAGCTCAGCAGTTTATCAAAAGACAACTGGTCAGAGCTGACACTATTTCTTGTGATTTTTATGTAACCAGTTGCCGTCCGCCCGTTGAAAAAAAACGGATGGACGGCACTGCTGCATTAGCGGGTTGCCGTCTCCAGACGGCATTTTTTAGCTGCTCGTGGGCGCGCGCGAGCAGAAAAGACCCGTCCAATGCAAACACCTGTTACTGGGTGTTTCACATATAGACGATCGGAACCGCAGCGCTGAATACTGAAAAATGGCCTGGATGGGAAGGGGGTTTAACACCGCGGACTTCAAGTGGTTAAAAAGGCATGTGTTGTCAGCCCACAACAGGAAATTAAGAGCTGGGTGCATTTCTGGCAGATCAACAGGTATTTTTCTGTACCTTGAGGGTCTTTAGAGTGATAAAGCATGAGGAAATGTGCATGCATTGCAGAGATGTTCTGTATATGTTTTAGTTTTGTTTTGTTTCGCGGTGACATACTTTAATTCATTATTTTAAAATGAGAGAAAATGGACAAGGATATTTTCTCAAGGTGTAACAAGGGCTAGCACTTTTTTACACTGTACTTCAGCATTGCAGTTTTCAATTTAAAAGAAAAAGAAAACAAAGCAATAAAATATTTTATAAGTATTTTTTGGATCTTTATATACTGTATAGCCTTCTTTGATACACTGTGGTCAATCGTGTGTATGAGAGGAAGAAGTAGCATGGCAGTAGTTAATATATTCAGTATAAAAGCACATTTAATTTACTTAACAACCTCTTTAGTTAAAAAAGATAATAAATCTGACTTTTAGGTTGAGGTTATTTTCAAACCACGCAATTCACAAAGTGCACTGTCATCATATTGTCCGCTGATTAGTATGCTTTACCTCTTGTTTTAAGGGTGAAGTAAGACTTCTTGAACTCAGTCCATCCCAGTTAAAACCATTAAACCACCTAAATTAGAAAACAAACATTTGCTGACTGTGTTATATTATACGTATTGCATAGTAAAACAATTTTTGTTTCATGTCTAACTCTTGAACTTGCTAACTAAAGGCTTGGTTTAAGGCATCCAAAGCAGTGTCTGGGAATTTGCTGATGACACAATATTATGTAAGCTCATAGCAGGATGTTTTTTCTCTATGAGGGGATCGGGAAGAGCTGCCAAAGCCAACAGCATATTGTCATGTATGAAAAGACAAGCAGACTTAGGGGAAAAAGCTTTTTTTTTCTTTAGCCCTCCGTAGGCCTCATATTAAATTTACAGTGCATAGTTCCAGTAATAGGCACTGTTTTGGAAAATTTGTACATTACATGCACTGAAACTATTTTTAAGTGCAGATAAATGGTTGCAGTGTGAAAGAAGGTTAAAAATCTTTATGAGCTGGGAAAACCAACCCCAACAGAAAATCAGCGATAGGGTCCAACATGCCCAAATACTTATGAAAGCGTAAAGCACGTAAAACTCTAGCAGAATATTTCAGTTTTTAGAATGATGATGTGTTTCTTAGTTAAAGTGACATTAAAGTCACAATTCCCCCCCACGCTGCTTTAAGGGCTTACCTTAATTAATGCCTCTTGATCTGATCATCTTCTTCTTTCCAGTAGTTTTCAGCAATCCCTCCAGCGCTGGTGCCGGTCTCTGCTCCAGTGCTGACTGCAGTGACTTCTGTGTCCCACGTTGTCTGTGCGGGTGCATGCTGTGAGCTGTGTGCATTGACTTACCCTGTGTCTCTCCTCTTTGACTGGCCGAAGATCTCTACTGCGCATGCACCCACCCCATGATCATTCACGCCCGCTCAAGAATCTTCAGGTCTTCATACAGGAGCGAGCGGCGGAGACACAGGTAAGTCATTTCCTAATGGGTAACTTTTTCATGAATGCTTGCTAGCAGTAGATATATGCAAATAAAACAAAAACATGAGTGTTTAATTCTACTTTATATACATTATAGGGGATCTGAATAAATGTTTACATTCAAACAGGAGAACATTGGTAAAAAATAAAACTACACTATATTGCCAAAAGTATTGGGACACCTCTCCAAATCATTGGATTCCGGCGTTCCGTGGAATTTCCTTGCTACTAAATATTCCACGGTCAACTTTTAGTGGTATTATAACAAAGTGGAAGCAACTGGGAACAACAGCAACTCAGCCACAATGTGGTAGGCCACGTAAAATGAGCAGGGGAAAACGCATGCTGAAGCGTACAGTGTGCAGAAGTGGCCAACTGTCTGCAGAGGCAATAGCTACAGACCTCCAAACTTCGTGTGGCCTTCAGATTCGCATGACAACAGTGCGTAGAGAGCTTCATGGAATGGGTTTCCATGGTCGAGCAGCTCCATCCAAGCCTTACATCACCAAGTGCAATGGAAAGCGTCGGATGCAGTGGTGTAAACCACGCCGCCACTGGACTCTAGAGAATTGCAGACATGTTCTCTGGAGTGCCAATCCGATTGACGTGTCTGGGTTTGGCGGTTGCCAGGAGAACGGTACTTGCCTGACTGCAGTGTGCCAAGTGTAAAGTTTGGCGGAGGGGGGATTATGGTATGGGGTTGTTTTTCAGGGATGCTTAGTTCTAATTGTTTGAGGGGGCTGGGAGGAAGGGGTGTTTTGTTTGCCATAATTAACCTTTTCTGCAGATTTCATTGTCATTTGAAAAACTAGAGGTGGTGAGGTGAGGAGATTAAGGGGGGATATGATCTCCATGTACAAAATGTTCAATGGTGGTAGCAACATTAGCGATAAACTGTTTAAAATTAACTCCATTACAAAAACTAGAGGCCATCACCTAAAATTGGTGGAAAAAAAATTCCAGCACAAGGGGCGAAGGGGGTTCTTCACAGTAAGATCAGTTAGGGTCTGGAACTCACTGCCACAGGCGGCGATTTCAGCAAATAATGTGGAATTGTTCAAGAAACTTTTGGACGATTTCTTAAGGCACCGTAATATACAGGGGTACAGGTACTCCTAGAATGAGATCCTAATAGGTTGGACTTGATGGACTAATGTCTTTATTCAACCTCAAATACTATGTAACTACGTACTATGTAGAGGAGCATGCCTGTCTGTCTTAACAAAATGTTAATTATCTCAAGTCATTGAGGGGAATTTATTAACTTTTTAGTAGACATGTTAGCATTTTGTTTGCTGGGTGACCTACCTTCAGTTGGACTGCTTTTGGACATCCAAATGAATGTCTCTGAGTTCTATGCGCATCAATGAATGAGGAAAAAAATACAGAGTGAACAGATACAGGGGAAATGAAAAACGAACAGGATTTTTTTTCCATGTGCATGACTGGATGACTAAATTGAACATAGGCTTACCATTATACTGTATTTTTTGCTCCATAAGACGCACTTTCTTTCCTGAGCTGAGGTGGCTGACATTTTGCCCAGGGGTGTGGAATCCTTTTCGCCCGACGCCCGGGCGAGTATTTTTTTGTACATTTAGCCCAGCTCCGGACAAGCAGAGCTAAAAGTATAGTGTGGTGCCGCCAAGCCACCGCACCCCCCCCCCCTCCCCGCCGTGGTTTTCGGGTTCCCCCGCTCCTCTGGGGGACCCGTGACCACGGCATAGGAGCTAACGTTCATTCTTCGTCTGCTCTGTGTGGTCACTGAGACCGTGGCGCTGTAATTACAGTGCCACCTGTTACAGCAGTGAGGAACTACACAAAACCCTACCCTCCCTAGGTGCGTCTTATGGTCGTCAGGTGCGTGTTATGAAGCTCAAAATACGGTAATTAAGGTCAGTGAACTTTCCTTTTCACTTCAGTAAATCAACCCCAATGAATCACTTTCTGTAAATTACATCTATTTTTATATTAGCTACTGTGATTCACATAATAATAAACTTTTTACAGACCATGAGAATGCATGAAAATGTAAATGTTAAAAAGTTTTTTTTAGAAACCTGTGTTTCTTAATGTCAGATATTCCATTCTTCAGATTTCCAAGTCTTTCTGCAGGGTTCTGTCTAAAAAAACAAACATGGCAATTCATTAATATATATTGCATTACTTAAATTACTTTTGTGGGTGGACAGAAAACAGAAAAAATTGTGTCAAACAAGAACATGCGGTGAGGCCATGGCAGGTGAAGCACATTACAAAATGGCAGTTTGAAGGAAGACAGGCGTTTGTAGATATTGTGCCCAAGCTCTTTTGCAGAAGCACAAAGAAACAGGCAACATTTAACATTGAGGACAAAAAAACGCATAGGTGCAGCCGAAGAAAAACACTTCCTACTGACTTTCCTTTGCTATCAGAAGATGTTCAGTGACACCATCAGCTTATACTGGCAGAAACCAGTGGGGCGGCAGTCCACTTATCTACAGTATGGAAAAGACTAGTCAGAAGTGGTCTCCTTGTGGATAAAAAGAAATCTATGCAAAAGTCTTGTGGGGAAAAAATCAATTCAAATTCAAAGGGTTCCCAGCAGACATTTGTTAGCGTGTGTTGTGAGTATTGTAGGGAGAATGTGTTGCTATACAAGGCTATACTGAGCTATATTGCACTAAAATATTTTGCATTGCAGTGTGGTTGGCTACATATTCTTCTGCACTCCTCTGTGTTCACAGTACAGACTCAACAGTCCTTTTTAGGGCAACCTTTTTGTGTATATTAGCAACAGTAGTTATTACTTGTGCTGCTAAGCCAAACTGCCGTTTTTTTATTAGGGTTAATTATCTTTTTTTTTACATTTAGCTATTCATTAGCTGTGCTTTTTTTTTTTTTGTGGGGGGGATTAAAAATTATTTCATTTGTCTAGAGTATTTTGGATTTATTTCAAGGTCTGCCATATAAACTGCTTGGTGACACAGTTCGTTTTAATTCAAGGTCTGCAGCGTACACTTGTTGGCGACACAGGCAAAGCTGCCATTCATTTGCAGCACATCAACACACTGCCACATATTTATTCCCTCTATTACCATAGCTGCCATTAAATGTAGCCAATCCCCTTTGGCAGACTATGGGGTCTATTCACAATGCTACCGAAGGATCTGGCCGTAGCTTCGGCTAGCTTCGGCACCAGGACCCCTTAGTTGGGTACCACCAATAATAATAAGTAAGATCTGAGGGAAAGGCAGAATAACAGTGAGAAAGGAATTTGTCCAAGTGCAGGAGCAGCTTGCAGAGGGCTGGTGGAAGCAGTCATCCTAATCCATGTGGTGGCACTGCCCCACAGGTACAGGCCACTGCTGTTCATGGAGCTTTGCAGCGTGTGCCTTTTAAAAAAAGTATCTACTGCCAACAGCAATTGTGGCCTACAGCCTCTGCCTGCAGCATATGAGCCGTGGTAAACGTACCAGCCATTTGAATACCACATGCATGAGCAAACAAGACTTTGCACCACAGAGCTTGGTTGGAGCAGCACCTTAAGGGCTTGTTCACACCATAAACAGTGCGTTCCAGAGCGGTCAGCTTCTGGAACACACTATCGCATCCCGGGTTGCTTCCTGTGTTCAGGGTCGGGAAGAGGTGTGGCGGTGCATTGAAGTCAATTGCCCCGCAGCCATGCCCCCCTCCCCCAGTGCGATCCCCGCACCAGAACTGTATTCTGGTCCAGTGCAATCTGTAAAAATGCTGCAAGCACTATTTTTTTTAGATCGCACTGGACCGGAACGCAGGCACTGATGTGTGTGACTTCAATGCACCACCATGCCCCTTCCCGCCCCTGCACACAGGAAGCCAGCCTGGATGCGATACAGTGCATTCCAGCAGCTGACCTCTCTAGAACACACTGTTTATAATGTGAACAAGCCCTGATGCCACAACTCAGCAGCAAAACTCCCACACTCTTCCTTCTCCTTGTTCCTCACTTTCCACATCCAAGCCCTACTGCTTTATCCACCTCAACATCTGCCTCTAGTGGAGGGAGGGAAGTCTCTCAATGGGTCATGTCTTCTAAATGTCATCCAAAGCGTCACATAGATTAGATACCTGGTTTTTAATTAGCTTTGGAATTTCAGTGCAAATATTTGTACATAGTGTGCGAATATGATAAAATACACCCCTGAAACAAGTGGTATTAGACAGGTACTAGACAGTATTAGACAGTGTTCCATAAAACAGGAACACTGTTGAATGTAAGACAACACACAGGGTTTGTCCCTACTTACTATTTAATGAAGCAGCTGCTTTTTAAATAGCTGTGGTTTTTGACTGTGTTGCTGCCAGACACGTCCACCACTGTATCAGCTCTCAAGTTAACACATAGCAAAATTGAAACCCCTGTGTAATTCTTCCAAACAGAAAATGTAATTTATTTATATCTTTTTCAAAACATAAAACCCTCAACTGTTTGTGGTATTATTGGTGTTTGTGGACACAACGCCATTATCTTATGGTCTGCAAACCTTTTTATAAATATTTTTTTTCAGAATTCTCAAAGACAGATGCCTGAACTACACTGACTGGCTCACCATTTGTTTGGAAAAGAATAAATTCAAGTATTTGCGCCCCACACACATTTACATTACTTAAATGTAAAGTAATTAAAAAAGAGTATGATCTGCCCATCTTGGACAGGCAGATCGTACTTGCGATCATTGCAAGCCTGACCCCCTGAGGGGCGGGCTTCCGATGACTGCAATGCTGAACGGGCAGTGTGCGCGTGCGCACACCGGCCCGTTTGACAGTTATCTCTCGATCATGCTAAAAACCAGCCGAAAATCGTACGATTCTCGGCTGGTTTTCTAACATGCTCAAAATACAAAAGTTGTGCGACCGTACAGTAGAAACGGTCACGCACCTTCCATACACTGCACGACTATCGTACGATCGTGGGATTTCCCGCGATTCTCGTACGATAATCGCGCAGTGTATGGGCACCTTGAGAGCTTGATTGCTGATTGAGAAAAAGTGTTAACTCTCAGAACACAGTATCACCTTTTGGATACTTTGGGAATCGATATTTCCGTAGTCTGTGTGGGGCCCATAGTATGAATGAGTGAATGATTGAGTGTTATGTACAACGTTGTCCTTTTTATGAAATTGAATGAGTTTACTGATGGTGCTTTTTCCATGATTTTAATATAATATATTTTTACAATACATGCCGGTCTCGGTCTATGCAGTAACCACTTTTTCCAGTGACCTTCTCTCTGGAACACTTCCCCTTTGTAGTCCACATGTAATACTAGTGATTAGTTCTAAAGTGTATCAAAAGCCAGAATTTTTTTTTTTTTGTGTTAGCACAGGGAAGCATTAGACCCCCTATCAGAATTTACTGCTGTCTGTGGCTCCATGTTTTATTTTTACTTACCATCCTGGTAATGGTTTTACCAAACAGGAACAGCAACACAGACAGAAATGAAAATCCTTTTTTTTGTAGAGTAGGGTAAGGATAGGACCCTTGTCGGCTTTTTATTGCTGTCTGTGACCTTGTGACAATTTTCATTTACTTCCTGTCAGCTGAAATTGTTGCCACTGGGACTGGGTTAGTGAGGGGAAATCTGTTTATCAGAGACCCGAATAGCAAGAAGAAAAAAAAAAAACTTAACAGGGATTCTAACCCTCCCTCATTCTATCCAAACTATCTAAACTCAAAAAGGTTTTGGCCGGACATTCACTGTAAGATCAATGTTATGTTAATTGCAATCATTCAAACACATGCACAAAGCATTGTGTCTTCCTTAAAACGTTCACCTTTCTAGAAGGAATGAGCTTTTTATAATGAAAAGAAGCCTTTCTTATTGTGCTTTTTTACCCAAGTTATCCCTTTTCACTTATCCCCTCTATGGCCATCTTGAATCTGCACCCTTTTTGTTTAGAATTACAAAAGATGTGGCCCAAGACTCTGGCTTCCTGTAGTGTCATGTGACAATCCAGAAAAAATAGCACAGCCTGCAGAGGAACTATATATCCCATGATGCACTGCCTCACTGCAGCACCAAATAGGGCATGTCTCACCTCTCTGGACTGCGCCTCCCTAGTTAGGGCCCTGCCTCGGGTTTGTTCCTCCCTGCAAGTAAATAAGAGGGAGTGGTGGCGGGTACACTTTTCTGTCATTGTACTTGTATTCTACTGTGTGCAGCTAATGTGTCTGTTGTGCAGTGAAGGTTTAAAACATTTTTAATGGGAAATGTATTCCGTGTACATATGTATGTGGACAGAAAATAAGGCTGCACTATGGGAGGATCCATAGCTATATTTACTGCAGTCCATGACTGCATTAATGTGTGCTCTGGTCCCCATGAAAAGTTATTGAATGTAGCTTGGAAATACACTTGTTGTCACCCGAGCAGGGGGGGTGTGCTGCATGCAAACCACATGGGCCTCTTACAAATGTTCCTTCATCTGTGGGCTAAATATGTGGCATATGGACAGTATTTGGTAAAGGACAGAGATGTTAGCATGCCAATAGATAGTTGTCAATGTCAGTAAATCTGTCTGTTGTTTTCAGGTTTAAACTGTAATTAACATTGTAGACTCAGTAAAAAGCACTTACTACTTACTATTTTAATAATAATAAAGGGCTTCCCCTTTGTATTATTCAGTGCATTTAACTTTTATTCACCTGTTTAACTTTTAGGTCTTGCACAGAGGAATCTTAACACCAGAAGCAATCTCTGTTCAGTGGCTTAGTATTTAGAACTATTGGTTTACATTAGTGGGATAGTAGTTTTTCTTCTCGCCAGGGAAGCTGATGATTGGCTAAGAACCAGCAGTGGGGTAGCAGCCCATTAACTCTGGGCGGGCCCAATGGCATCCTGTTTTTTTTCATGGAAGCTATGCCCAAGATGGCTAGGTGGTGCTAAAGAGAGAAGAGTGGAGGTGCGAGCCTGGTGCTAAGCTGGAGGAGGAGATAGTACACCTCCTCCTGTCTCTCTCAGCTTCCTGCTTCAGATTGTAACTGACGGAAGTAGTGAAACTGCTGTCACTAATTCGGTCAACCTGTAGCAGCAGAGCTAGCGGAAACCCCAGGCAGCTGAGAGAGCTGACGGGCAAAAATTAAATCATAGAGAATGGTAGGAGCAGTGGGTGGGAAGGAGTGGCCAAGAGCTGTGGGTGGACATTAGAATAATCTGGTGTCTCAATGACATACAGTAAGTGTGCACAGGAGGCAGAGAACTTTTCTATGGTCAGTGGTTGGGCCATCCTGCATTTTGCACATGATGTCTGACTAGATACCATAGAGAAGTTTATTTTGCACAAGGCGACGAGTAGCTGTGGTGGGCCTGGTCCAGTACCTATCAATAGCTTTGCCATTCCTGGAATAGAGGTACATTATTACTGTATTGGGACACAGGGAAACTGTGCAGGATAAAAATGGTGAACTAAGTCTTTATTTTAATAAATCAACCTCACAGATTTATACTGTGAGAAGGAGCAGTAAAGCACAACTGTAAGGTCTACAGTATGTTAATAGGTGTTTTTGTCACATGAGTTTTACATTCCCTTACAAGTCTATGAGAATGCAAAACCTGCTTAAAGCAGATCAGATTCAGGTTGGAAGGTCAAATGCACCTGTCAATAGAGCAAATAGAGCTGGCCGCATGTACCTATATTTGCAAATTATAGAGAGAAACAGAAGGGCTTTTGAGCTGTAGGGCTTGAATGTCAGCAGGAAAATACGTGGGGTGGCCTGCTGACACCTCACACCAGTGCTGCAAGGAATTCATTTAGGCCCTGTCAGTATATCACAAGGTCTGAAAAAGGAAGCAAGATATTTAGAAAACATATACTTATACTTTAAATACCACTTTAGAGAGACTGCTGCTTTCATACAGTTGTCTTTAGCTGCAGGCTTGTACATGCACAACAATTTCTGCTGGGGTTGGAGAACTTTAAATAAAATAACTTTAAATAAAGAAACCACAATAAGAAAATTAACACCTGTATAATTACTTGCAAAGTGACAGATGGGCTTTCAAATGCTTGGTTTAATGTACTTCAAAAAAGCATTGACAAGGTAAGATTAAAAAATGCCCATGCACCTAGAGTCTAAGACATTTAATCATAGACAAACAAAAACATCTAAACCCAAAAACAAAAATGTAATATACTGTAGCTTTCCCCTTTATTTTGACATAGTAGTCATACGCATTGCACACTTCCTGTCCCTTCATGTCTACAACCATTTCTCCACTGTATCTAAAGGGACAGCCATGGTTGTCACACTGGCTGGACTTCAAACATGTCTGCCTTTGTTCATCTCCTTTACATGGTGTATTGATGGGAGTAGTTAGATCACATAAGACAGATAAGATTCTTAATGCTTTCTTTTCAGCTCACAGAAAAAAGAAAACTAATGCAACTACCACATCTAAGGACTGGTAAGCTGCTATATATTACATTTCTGATTTGGGGTTTAGATATGCTTTATTCCCCTATGGTAGCTGGTATTGCTTTAGGACTGTCCAGCGATAGATTCCAGAGAGTAAGCATTTGCGGACTCATTTTACCTGCACAGTCGTCGTATCAAGTCTTCAGAACGTCTCAATATTTTTCTATGAAAATCGACTTTTTCGATGCCTTGGAGAATTAAATTGTAGATCATCATCTGGTCTGGCCCAGTAAAAGGAGGGCTGGAGAGAAATATGCCAGATATGTTATGTTACACATATTATACATGAAAAATAATCCTCCCAAAGATATATATATAATAACAAAAACAGAGCTGTGTTGTTAAGATTTCAACTCAGCTGCAGAAACATGTAAAGAAAATACTTTTTCTCAGTCACCATGGAAAATGAAACTAAACAAAGAAAACTTGCAGCTAATATAATGTTTATTGTTGGAAATCTGCACATGGCTTCCCATGAAAAATGTCTTCTGCAATGTAATGCAGACCTCTCCAACAAGGAAACCATCCAAGTTTCCCTATAGAGAGAGGTACTAATTAAAGATGTTTCTACTAGTTTTCTTCAGATGGGCATGTCATTAAAATATATGTAAATCCAAACATGAACATGTCATTTAAGCTTTAAAGTTACCTAGTCGCCATAGTAAAAATATTAAATAAATCCATTCTGTACAAAAAGAAGGTTTGTACTTACCTTTCCAGTGGCAGGTGGAGTATTCTTTAGTGAGTGGTGGTAGGCAATAGGAACAAGGGACGTGCGGTGAGGGGAGGCTGGTGAGGCAGAACCTCACCTAGTATTATGGAGGAAAATGTTGTCAGCTTCAAGTCTGAAGGTGACAGCTTTTCCCCCATTTAGACTGGCTTGTTGCGGGTTACAGAGCAGAGAAAGCCTCCGCGATGTGTAACCTGTCATGAGCGGAGCACTGCCTGTTAATTACAGGTGGCTCGGCATCCGGCTTTTGAAACTATGTTAGGTTACACAGCAGCGGGCTTACCCGCTGCTTGTGTAACCTAACACAGTGAGGCAAGAGCTGCAACAGTCTCTACTCTATGTTAGAGGCTTGAGCTCTGTGGATGGTTTGGACCAATGGCAAAGCGCCATTGATCCAAGCTGTCCAATCAAAAAAAAGAAAAAGAAAAACACTGAGGAAATCAATCTCGATGCCTCACCAGTGACGAGCAAGTGAATGACAGGGAGGCTCCTCCCTGTCCCCTCCCTTGCTCCTCCCTCCCTCCTCCACACATAGCTTGGTGACCAGGTTGGGGGGTGGGGCTTTGATAGGCTGGGGAGTGTGGCATGCTGGGGGCAGGGCTGGGGCGGGCAGGGGAATGCCTCACCCAGCACGGAAGGTAGCGCACATCACTGGAAGGTACCATAGCACTCTGTGAAGAACACACTATCTGACACAATCGCAAGTAACCAGAGCTCTTCAACAATGTGAAGATTTAACATGTTGCCTATGGAAAGGTAATGTCATTTCAAAAGTACTATTTGATAATACCTGGTGATACACTTTGTGCAGACATGTCCTGTTATAGGGTTACAACGCCCTGTCTGTGCTTCTAAATTGTGTTTCTACGTTGCCACCCTGTCACGCAGGCTTCTGATGGAGACGACAAGTGGCCATTTCAACACACATTAGGAAGGCATGTCACCATCAAGAAATCCGCTGTGAGAAATTCCAATCAGAATAACAGAGTGGCATGAATGCAGCAGACAACAACCTGTGTTGTATTTCATGTCTACAAGATTAAATGGAAGCAGGGCCACAGCATGTAGACAGAAAAAAATATACTTTTTTTGCTGCTTTTGGTAAAAAAAAAAGCCTTAATTACAGAAACCCAAACATGCTAATGATGCTAATCACTTGTGGCATTGGCTCTAAAAAGGTTGTTATTTTACATGAGTCCTGTACTGCAGTGACTCTTCTCCTGATGTAAGTGTGGTTCTTATAGTTTTGGTTTTTATAGGGAGCAACTGGCCACCAGTACATCTGACCAAAGTGAATATTGTCTGAACAGTTGCCTTCTATTTTATGAAGTTCTCCCTAATATTTAATGGGCTGATTGTTGTACATGTCTGTTATACTCAGTTTTTTTTTTTTTAACCATTCAGTATCCTTCAACTGTCACACTGCAATTAGACCCAGCATATGGCAAGCCACTTTATGACTCAAAATACTTTTTTGGTATAGGAGCTGTTAATAAAATGTACACGTGTATGTGGCTGCAGTGTAGTACAGCTCTCACGGGGGTGGGCAGCTTACGATCTTCCACACAGGCCCACTGCATTAAATGAACACCCCTGCTAGTATGCCTATACAGAAAGGAGGGCCAGCCCCAGTGATGGAAGCTACTTTTCCAAGTGAAAAAAGAGTCATCTGAATGTATAATTACACACGTCCAATGTAAAAAAAAGTTTGTTTCCAATGTAAAAAAAAACTTTCTCTTTTGTTCATTGAAGAACACAGTGAAAATCAGCAGACATTGTACCACTGGATTATACTGCCACTGCAGGAGTAGGAATCTTGGCACAAAACACAAAAGAAAGCCTAGGGACCGCCCCTGCTGATGGACAACCCCCCAAGTGCTAATACAGCCCCAATTTGTTGCCTAGCGTCATAGAGTAAGGATGTCAAAATCCTTACTGGGAATCTTTTTTCCCCGTTTACCTCTTTTTAGTTTTTTTCCTACTCGCCCCGTTTCAGATCACTGCTTGTTGATGTTCTACTGGTATAAGATCTACCAACCTTTGCTGTCTCCTTCAATGAATGTAAGAGAACATTGGATTTTTTTGTACTCATCGTAAAATCCTTTTCTCTGCGTTTATTTAAGGACCGCATCCAACCCCTGGTATTGCCTGTTACTGATTGCTGGATCTTTTCACTGCTTGTTACTAAGGCTGTGTTAACTTGGGGATTTGGCCACCAGCAGGGGCCACCCCTAGGCTGTCTTTTGTGCCTTGTGTCCTACTCCTGCAGGTTGCAGTATAACCCAGTGGTACAAGATCTACCAATCTTTGCTGTGTCCTTCAATTAATGCAGAGAAAGGGTCTTATGATCTTATGGTGAGCACCAAAAATCCAGTTTGCCCAAGTCCTTATTTTTACTTGCTTCTCCTTACTTTCATTGAAAAACACAGTCTTGGGTAAATCCGTGGGCAAAGCACACTTACATCTTTATCCCTGACCTTTCAAAGACTTGTCAGGGTAAAAATAAAGTAAAACATTTTCACTTAGCAAAGCAAATTTGTTCACTTAGCTTAGTAAATAAGGTGTAGCTGTGATCATAATAAAGTGAAACTAAACTCAGGAGTTAAATCTTATAAATACATTCAAGTACCCTAATTATTAACATAAATGTATCTTATTTGTGTATCACTCAGCTGTAGATCCTCAAATCATCTCTGAATTCATGCTGAGACTGTCCTTCCTTCTAGAGGGTGGCTACTTGTGTTCTCCATGGATCCTGCATGTATTGTAAAGTAGCCACTGCTCCAAGCTTACTACCGTGATGGACAATCATTTCTATACAAATTAGTAAACTAAATGTGAGCTTGTAGTCCATCACAAGAGTGAGTTTGGAGTGATGGCTACTTTACAACACACACAGGGACCATTGGGAACAAAAGTAGCCACCCTCCAGAAGGAAGGACAGTTTAAGCACCAATGCAGAAATGATTTGAGGATCTACAGCTGAGTGATACACAAATAAGATACATTTCTGTTAATAATTAAGGTACTTGAATGCATTTTTAAAATTTTACTCCTGAGTTTAGTGTCACGTTAATCATAAGCAAGCAAAAGCTCTGTTTATGTAATTCACTTTGAAGATGATTTGCATTAAAGTGGATTTGCAGGTGTATTTAAACTGAACATAGCTTTACCATATTTACTTCAATAAATAGTCACTTGGATAGAAGTTTTATTATAATGGGGTTTCATAAAACCCATTGTAACAAATAGGAGAATCCCATACAAGAGTCCCCACACTCTAGTAATTTCACTAATTAATTTTGATAAAGGTTTAGAATGTTAAGAATTTGGGTCTGTAAAAATTGAATGCGCTACTACAGGTTACAGCATATGTATGTTATACCATTTTACAAAATAAAATATTTGGCAATAATAGGAGGCAGCTCTACAGTTACATTAGAATCTAAAAGCAAATGTCACATCATTAACATGTTATTGAAAAGCACATAAAAGTTTATAAAAGATCAAATTATTAGGTTATCCATATTTTAGCAAGAAAAAAAATCTTCACTTTGATACACTAGTGACACCCACAGGCTATATAAGATAATTAAAAGACTCAATTCAAAATTATTTTCACAAGGATAATCATCTTTGTTTTCAGCTACGTAACCATCATTTTCAAAACTCATTTGACTCAGCTGAAAATACCTGTCATTTTGTTTAATAATGATTCTTATCCTGGTGTGTTATCTTTGTGAATTGAGCCTCTTGATCCTTTTCAAGATATTGCTTTTTATAAAATTTTAGGCATCAAGCGTGCTGTGTACTTGAGTTTCACCAGTTTTTCTGGGCAATGAGAAGAGTTTATATTTTAAATATAACACTAGCTAATTTTTTGCAGCCTTATTTAAAATTGCGTTACATTTTTTTTTATTTGAAGAAAGGTACTATGGAATATCACTCAATAGACTCAATTCACAAAAATAACACAGCAGGCTATGATCCATTATTTTCGAAAAAGTCATGGGTATTTTCAGTTGTGTTCAATTGAATTGGGAAATTACAGTCCACTGGGTGAAAATAAAGAACCTTAGGCTGATGTTAAAGCTTTTTGAATTGAGCCTATTTTGTGGTAATACCATAACATTTAGCTAAAAGTCACTACTTTTACTGTATCAAGTATTACTGTATCTATTGAAGTCAATGGGAAGCAAATTGTAATGAGCAACGTTGGCAAACAATTGGCAAGCAAATAGAAAGGGGAGTTGGTTACTACTGTGGGGGACCTGTAGTACCCAACAGCAGCACCCACCAGTAGTACCTCTGCCTATGACATTTGGCCTGCCAATCATTGTCTTTTTTTGGTGGAGATGCATACCAAACTTTATTGTTACTATGGCAATATGGTGGTAAGGTAACTGTAAGCAATGAGACATGCTTTTGGTGCACAATATTTTTGCCCGGCAATGCAGCGAATTGCTTCATACAAAGAGCGACTCCAAGAACAGTTCAGCAACAAGTGAATGCTGCACTTTAAGCAAACCAAACTTTAAAAAGGCTATGGCAACAAAAACAATAAAAAAACTCTATAAAATAGAAAAAAGTTTATATACCGATGGGACCACATAAAGAAAGGACCCCCTCCTTAAAATAAAGCATTAAAAAAAAGACCCCAATAAACCTCCCAATAGCACTGCATGGCACTTGTTTACGATACAGAAACAGTAGCCCTAGCAAGGGGTTAAGTAAATAAATCTGTGAACATATGGGGACACAAAAGACAATGTGGTCCATCGCAGCAATTCACACCATAGAATACTCAGTTAAGTAAAGATCTCCATAAGCTCTCCCTATGCAGATTGTCAGCTCTCCCTGCCCCAGTCCCTGTTCTTCACCCTTCTAAGCCTGCATGCAAATCAAAATCCAGCAGATTCACAACAAAACCATTAAATCCAAAGCGCATACCTACATGTGACTATGAGAAGTGTGAGGAAATCCCACCGGGGACACAAACAGCGTTTCCTATTAAATTGTAAAATTCTGTTAAAAACTCATCAGGTTCACTCAATCCTTTAGTAATTGTTCCTCATATGTTTTCACCAGTGGCACTTAAACTTACCTCAAATTACCTTGTACCCATTAGTGTATCACTAAAATTATCTTAAACATATGGCCACGTCACCTTTATGAGACAGAAAACTTAAACACAGTTTCCGAAGATGTAGTACTACACATAAATGCACAGTAGCAAAGGCAGAGATGTATACATTTACTATATGTTAATAAAAAATAATTATAATACCACTTACCTTCCTGTAAGTAGTTCATACAATAATATGCCAAGTGACCAGAAATCCACACTGAAGCTGTGGCCTCTATTTAAAATAATTTCTGGAGCAACATATTCTGGTGTCCCACAGAACGTCCATGTTTTTTGGCCAGGAAAGAGCTTCTTAGCGAATCCAAAATCAACCTAAGGTGTGAAATATATACAGCAAGTGTTCTGAATTAGTCTTTCCTGTCTTTTATCATGAATTCTTGTAAATCATCTGGCTCACTGAGGATGAAAACTAGATTAGTGCTCTGTGTGAGATTTCAAAGGATAGCTGCATGATGTCCACATACTATCTTAACAATTTCTGCTGTTCTTTTAGCATAATTCAAGTTACAGTGAAGGCCACTTGCTGTGCTACATTGTTACTTACATGTGTCATCTTTAAACAGTGCTTCTTTCTTCAAGAATGTCTATACATTCAAGAAGATCCGTATATAACTTTTGCCCTTTATTCAACCCATATTATATGCAGATACTTTACTACTAAATGTGGTGAGGTGGAAGAGGGCAAAAGACTTAAAGCAGATCTTGATGTAAAAACGTAATGTGTATTTCCACTCTTGCAGTCAAATCTAGGAAAACCCTTCCATGTGTTTGTTATGTGTTACTATTCACACGGCATATTGAAAAAGGTAAATTCTTACCTTTTAGATGTTACATGAGGTAAGATGACTGATTCCAGGTTTTTCTTAGCCCTTTCACAGTGGTCTGTCCCAATGGAAAGGACTGAAATTTGAGTATTGTGTTTATCTGATAAGCTTCATTAACATACAATGGGCAAGCCACCTCTGAATGGCCAAGACCCCTTATCCATCACAACCCCTCCTAACATTTAAAATAAATAGAACCTACATGAAATTTTAACCCTTATAACCCTAACCCAAGTAAAAGCAATTTAAACTGCAAGAATCATTTTAAAATGTAGCTTATGCTATGTGAATGGGAGCATGTAACAAATATAAAATAGGTGCGATCCCAATTTGGCTGCAAAAGTCGAAATACACTTTAACCCCTATCAATTACTCCATCTAAAATTTGTAATCTAAACCTGAAACAAATGAGGAGTAAAAAAAATTAAGATGCTTACTGTAGATTCTGGTTTATTATCTACCAGTAATGTCACTCAGCCTTCCTCTCGGATCTTGGAAAAAAAAGTATCTCCAATCCCTTGAAAATGTGCTCTAGCACTCTCACCTTGGCACCATTACTTAGCCTATTCTTGGAATCTAGGTAGAGGGGAATATCCCAAATATCAAGAAAATTGTATTTTTTTCAAGATTTGGGATCCTCAGCTTGCCCAGGATTTTATCAGAAGACTGAGCGATCCTTCCTTGCCTAGACATCCGGTTTAGAAGCCGTTTGTAAAAACTGCTCAGTATTGTAAGCTGTGTACACACTGATAGCTTTTCGTAGGCTGAACGATAAAAAAACAAATACCTCATCCACAATAACATCTCCTGCTGTGTCCTTTGTCTTCTGACAGCAGCGCCTGTACTGTCAGAATTCCAATACAGCGATTGCTGCTGATTGGCTTCAAGCACTTTTCACCCGACAATTTTCCAAAATGTTCCTTCAACAAAAGCCGATCTAACCATCAACCTTTGTTGAGAAGATAGGGCCACCGTTGGATTGAATTTCTGTCAATTGCTGTTGAATTGGCCAAATTCCATCCGTGTATACACAGGTTTATTCAGAGATACAGAATAGGATTACTTTGCATTTACTCTGTTTCATTCATCTGCAGATCAAAGGGGTGAGCTTTAATCTGCATATGATATCAGTTAAACTAACCTTACAAGAAAACAAAGAAAGTGTTTTTGCTAAAGAAAAGTTGTACCTTAATAGCCCTTAGTTAACCCTAATAAGCCCTAATTTATTTATTTCTTCCTCTTCTCTCCTAAGCTTTTATTTTTCTGCTTTTTATATCTATTTTTAAGCCCTTAATATTTTAACCTTTTTTCACCTTAGTCATTAGTCACCTGGTCATTTTGTTTGTCATTTGTTTTTAGTATCTCATTAAAAATACCCTATCACACTCCTCACATACTAAGCCCATTTTGAGAGGAGCCAATAAACCTTCCAGCATGTCTTTGGAGTATGGGAGGAAACCGGAGTGCCTGGAGGAAACCCACAAAAGCACAGGGAGAACATGCAAGCTCCTTGCAGATAGCGTCCTGACCGGGATTCGAACCGGGGACCCTGAGTGCTGCAAGGCAGATTTCTATCTTTGCAATGCTTTGCACCAAAAACATATTAGGGGGTTAGTCCCAAAGCTGCCGAAGGCAGCTGAGTGAATAGCCCAGCCAAAGTGAAGTGAGCTGAACTACATTCAGCTATTCACTCTGGCTCAGTACGGCTGATTTCGGCCATACATCATCTGGAAACAGCCATATATCGACTGCCTTCGGCTGCACTTCGGTCAGGTCAACATCTGGATCGGCTAAGCCCAAGCTCCGGCAGATCACTCGCTGCCGTTCGCCCCTATTCACATAACGGCCAAACGGCAGTGAGCGGCATTCGAGTGTAATTCGGCTCAACTATTCTGCTCGGTACCTCTATGGTAGTACCTCCATGGTACTGAGCAGAATAGAAAATCAATGAAAATAGTCACACACAAAAAGGTTGAAAAAACTTTTAAAAAATCTAAATAAATAGTAAAATTTTAAAATAAATAAAGATTTTTTTTAAAAGAAAAAAAACTATTGGGCAGAGCTAGCATTGACAGTTAGCTCCGCCCAACTGTTTCCTATTGGCTGGCACCTGCTAGAGTCTTCTAGCAGGTGTCGGCCAATGAATAACATCTGGGCGGAGCCGGCCGTGATGTCACGTCTGCCTCCACCCAGTTGTTATTGTTTAATGACAGTACAGCGTCCCAAGATCATTTGGGGACGCTGATCTGTCATTACAACTGGGTAGAGCCAGCTGTGAGATCACAGCTGTCACAGCTGGGTGAAAGGCCGGCCTTTAGCAGGCCTTTAGCAGGCCTTTAGCAGGCCGTTTGCCTCGCTTTGGCAGCTATAGTGAATAGCACGTACAGCAGCACTTCAGTTCAACTGAAACGAAGGGCTCCGGTAGCCGAAGAGAGCCGAAGGATCAGCCGAAGCTACGGCTGGATCCTTCGGCTCCTTCATGAATAACCCCCATTAGTGTCATTATAAACAGTACAAATTATGGAATAAAATGTATAGTTTTTATCTACAGTAACACTATTAAAAAAAACAAAACAAGAGTGATTAAATATGAAAAAGTTACTTTGTTATCTTGATAATAACAATGTTATCACCAAATAAGCAGGCCCTTAGCAGAAATTTTAAAATTAGAGCATGCAGGTTTGGTTATATCATCACCCACATCACTGTCTATTTAGTCTTTACTGAATGCACACTAAAATATTCAAAATGTAAACTTACCAGTTTTACATAGCCTTCTGAGTCTAGCAGTAAATTTTCTGGCTTTAGATCTCGGTACATGACACCTATGCGATGCAGATACTCAAAAGCCTCAGTCACACATCCAATGCAAAACTTAGCAGTCATCTCATCAAAGCTGCCTCTGGGAACAAAGTCAACATTTGTTTTCAAGTGTTTTCAGTTTTAATCATCATTTTGACATTACACATGTGCCACATGAAGTGTTTAAACATTTCAGTTTCAAGGGCCCACACAGTGATTATGCTAAATGTAACTTTCAGCCAGATCCAATAAATTATTAATTTAATCCACAAATTGAATGAAATAAAAAATTAAAAGGTCTCTTTGATAATTTCCAAGTGCTTTGGTTCTTCTTGTAAAAGTCACTTAAGGCCTCATAAGTATTTTTTGACAACTGATAGTTTGTGTTTTAATATTTATTTTTGTTGCACTTAATATTGTTGTAGATTATTAAAATTTCTTCATAAAAGTCAATGCAGATGTTCCAAAAAAAGAGGAATAATAAAACAAAATGCAGATTTGATTTAATTATTTTTGTTTTCTTCAGCGCAAAATAAAAAGAAAGAAATTCAGATTTGAGTTTTTTAGTTATTTTAGTTATTCCATATACATAAAAATGGACAGATAAGATGATAAGAAACATAAATACAAGATTTAGTACAGTGTTAGAAAAGATGGCATAAAACCCTAAATCTTTACCTATCTCTTAAGAGACTCCAAAGCTCTCCACCGAGACAAGCTTCCAGCAGCAGATATATGTATTTTGAATCTTTAAAGGTTCGGTATAACCTGAAAGTATATATTTGCCTATTATTAGCTTGAAGATAAAGAATATTGTTAAGCAGCATATAAGCCAACATGCAGAAACAACGTGTAGATGAAAGTAAAAGATTGGGATTGATTTACTAAAGGAGTAGAGCATGTACACTCTACAAAGTACATTTTCACTTTGCAAGGGACTTTTCACTTATCTTCGTGCTTAGGGCTTATGATTGTATCTATACACAGCATATATGGGTTAATTTGCACCCTTAGAGAAAATATGAGCACTACAACTCAACCAGACTTTAAAAAAGGGGGCACTGACAATGTAGTGCCCACATTGGACATTAATCACAAGGACATATAGTAGCATTGTACAAACCTATGCAGTCAAACAGTAAATTAAGAAAACTAAAATAATATCACAGACATGCCCCATTTCCAGCTGCATCTGAAGGATTTGTTCAAAATGTGCTGTGGTTTGTTGCAGATGCTTGTATAATACACCTCAGGTTGGGTGCTAACTCCCCTGTGGTTCATTCTCTCCCTCCGGAATCAATACAAATGTGATCACTTGAATGCTACCAAACAGTGTGCCCCCCCATACTCATGCTAGCTATCCCAGACTCTGCTGCCCCGCATGCGGGCCCGGGACTATTGCAACTAGACTGTGCAGCTGCATCAGAGGAAGATCAGCACTCTTCCAGTGGCTGATCTCCCCTCTGCTTGTTGAAACCGGAAGCAACAAATATTTTGCCACTAGCGGTTTCAGGCTGATTTTTCTCCGGCTGCTGTAGCTGATGAATCACATTAGGGGTCTTGATGTCTCCACAAAGAGGACCTGTCTCTTAGATTCTGCTGTCTCATAGGTGGCTTGTGAGCCTCTTATGTGATAGTTATAACGTTAACTGTAAAAAAAGCAAAACAACAAAGTTTAAAAAATGATAGTAACATAAAAAATAAACACAAAAAAATGCAAAGCCCTCCACCTCTATATACACGCATCAGTTGTGGCTATGTTCTTGTGAGTCACTGTTAACTCTAAATTGATGGGTAGTAAAGGCTTTAAAAGTGTTGCCTAAGGGCAATTGTGGGTATTGTAGTTTTTTTGCCATTTGATGGGTGTGCACAATTTTAAAGGTTGACATGTTTGGTATGTATTTACCCAACACAACCCCATGTTTTATATTTTGATAACAATTGGTATTTTATTCTGTTTGTGTGCATTAATCTTAAAGAAGAACTCCCGGAATGTTTGTATTAACCCTTACAATGGGGCTACACCTGCACTGCAAGGGTTAACTGCTTGTTCATTTCTAAGTTAAAAACGTTATACTCACCTGAAGCTCCGAGCCGACTTCTTCTTAGTCCTGTCCTTCCAAAGTCTATCCCCATAGGTCCTGTAAAACATCAATGTCTATACACAGTGTATAGACATGGGGATGTTGAGGAAGATTACAATGCTGCAGGGAGGGGGAGACAGGCTGGAGAGAGCGCTGTGACAACTGGCTGGCTTGGAGCTTTGGGTGAGTATAACTTTGCTATTTTAGCAGCTAGACACAAACAAGTACTTAGTCCTTGCAGTGCGGTTGTTGCCCCACTGCAAGGGTTAATAAAAAAAATCCTGGAGTTCTTTCATTTTAATGCATTTTTTCCTAAAAAGATCATTTTGATGAACATTAGTGCCTATCTCATGCAACTTAAAAAAATGTAACTAGCATGTTTTAATTCTACATAATTATTTATGGATTGTAAACTGTTTTCACATTTGAACTTCAGTGCAAAAATAAAAAATGCTCCAGACATTGAGTGGTTAATAAATGATTTGTTGTTAAAGATCAACTCTAGCTACGGTAAATGTTTTATTTTATTTTGTACAGGCATAGGGGAAGGCTAAAATACAGACTTTTACTGTTGTCTGTGTCCCTAGGAAGGGAAGACATATATGTCCAGTCCTTGCAAAATTATGTCATAAGGACAGGAGGTGATGTGATATCTCTCTGATCAGGACAGAGACCACAACAAAAGTGCATTTGTAGGGGTTTATTGCTCTCTGTGTATATCTGCCCCAGTGACACCAGTACCTACTCATTTCTAGTGAGCAGTAACTGAGAGAATGTCCCCCCAATTAGGACGCAGGCAGCAGTAAAAACATCTCAAAGGTTCTGACTTTGACCCACCTAAATAAAAACATTTTAAAAAGAAAGTTTTAGCTGGAGTTAGCCCATAAAGTTGAATTTTGAGGAGCACTTTTCTCATTATTATTACTATACAGGATTTATATAGCACCAACAGTTTGCACAGCACTTTACAATATAAGGAAGACATTACAATCACAATCCAATTTAAGACAAAATGGTAAGGAGGGTTGCTTAGGTGAACGAGTTTAGTAGCAGCATTCATGATAGACTGAAGGGGGATAACCTGTGTAGTAGGCCAATGAGGAGGGAGTTGCAATAGTTGAGTCGAGAGATAACGAGCGAGTGGATGAGTAGTTTTGCGGTCTCATTGGTGAGGAAGGGGCATATTTTGGAGATGTTGCAAAGGTAAGGCGGCAGGATTTGGATAGTGATTGGATGTGGGAAAGAAAGGTGAGATTCGAGTCAAGGTTGACACCTAGCACCTTGGACGCAGGTCAAGGGGGAAGTCAGACGCAGGTCATAAATTAGAGGAAACTCAGAAGCATCTTAGTTGTAAGCTGAATGCACCTAAAGGCATTCTGTGTTTGTCCACCTACATAGGTCCTAATTTAATTAGAAAATGTGCAACTACATTGGCATGGACTAATTACAAATTCAGTATTGTCTATTCATAAAAGCCATATAAAAACATACTTTACTGTAATATTCAGTTATAAAGCATGCAATAAACAATGATTACCACAAAACTCATACTTCACTATAAACTGAGAATTAGCTTCTTCTAGGATTTTCTTTTCAGAGTGGATGTGTTCTTGTTGTCTGTTATCCACAATATGCCTCTTCTTGATGCATTTAATGGCAAATGCTAAGTTCTCATTTTTTACTTTTACCTAAAAAGATAAGAATTTACCAGTAATACATTTATAAGTTATTATCATGTTGCAATTAGTTAACAAACTATGAGTAAACAGAATTAGAAGTCAATATTTGCATATTTCCTATAAATTCTCATGAGGGAAAGTAGGAACAGCCTTGCTCACCTCCACCTGAAATGTTAATTGACTGGCTCTCATGCTGATCTCCCTAAAACATCTAAAAATTGAACAGATTGGAAGCCACTAGAAACCTCTGTATGAAAAGGAGCATCATGGAGAGGCTCCTCATGCCCATAGGTGTGCACAGATTAAATACATCAAATACATATAATACTTTCCAGTGGGTTTCTGTTATTGTTATTATTATTATTATATTATTGGAAAGTACAGTATACTAGTAAAAACAATTGATTAAGGGGTCTATTCACTAAGCTGCCGTAGGCAGCCGAGTGAATGACCAACCTGAAGTGAAGTGAGCCAAACACTGTTCGGCTATTCACTTCAGGCTGGTATGGCTGATTTCAGCCGTACATCGGCTAAAATCAGCCGTACATCGGCTTGCTTCATGGCCGAAGCTACGGCCAGATCCTTCTGCAGCTTCATGAATAGACCCCTAAGGGAAATAAAGATCTGTCAACATTTAATGGAGCAGAATGATTTTGGTCTTACATTGTAGCTCTAATCATTATATACACAATACAGATCTAAACATTGGTAAATCCATTTTCTGAAATTAATTTAGTTGTGTTTACTAGTTTATGTCAGGTACTCTGTGATGGTAAATCTGCTCTTGTCCTCTTCTTACAATAAAATGTTACATTAGCATTATCTCTGCTCCACTAAAAAGACAGTCAAGGTAACAGACTCATATATAGGCTCAATTCACAGGATAAAATACCAGGATAAGGAACCTTATTAAAAGTAACAGTTATTTTAAAAGTCCAATGAGATATGAAAATGACCGTACTGTAGCTGAAACCCTCTATTTTGAGAAGATTGAATGTAATGGTATGACAGGAGGGCACATTTCTGTGTATCTGTGCATCTTTATATTTTATGTTTCATATTTACTGTGTTATATTACTAATAATCTAAGATTGTTAAAAACAAAAGCCCTTACAAGTTCCACTCGTCCGAACCCACCAACACCCAAGGTGGTGATAATCTCTAGGTCATTGAATGGTGATGAAGAAGAAAATCTTAAAACTCTTTCCTTCATGTGTATCATTTCCAGAGACAATGCCCTGTCAAGTTGCCCATCTGTGGACTTCCTAAACAAATAAAGAGAGAGATGAGTTCTATACATAAGATCAATTATGACAATTTTACAGATTTAAAAAAACTGGCCTCTTTGTTTTTACCATTTTTATTGCAAGTTCACATGTTTGAGGTGGGTGAGGGAAGTCATTCCTTTAAACATGTGCTTCAGATTACATTACCCCAGAGGTTATCTCCTCTTTGAGCTTTGAGTTTAGTTACTTACTGTCAAGTAGTTTAACCTACTGTAGGTATGTCTAAACTATATCAGGTCTAGCTGTTATTTTTAGTGTGTATACATTTTGAGAAATGCCAATATTTAAACCACTCCATGCCTGAAGCAAGCTTGCAATTTATTTTAAATTAATCACTTTAGGGTCATGTGAAAGGTATATTTTTATTGTAGGTGGACTATGGTGGACTAAATCAGCCTCTGGCTTCTTATATGTCTTGGATAAGGGGGGGTGTCCCTACCATCATTCCAGCTCTTTCTGTCCATTTGAAAGCTCTAGATATTTCTTCCAGCCTTTGTGACTTATACCTCCTGTTGTTTTCTCCATATTATAAAATAAATTAAAAATTCCACCCCATGTAGGACACAGCATTTGTACAGACCCAGGAATTCATGTGCAGAGATACAAATACAGACTCCAAAAGACAAATGTCAGGGGATTTAACTAATATATACTATATATCTTAATTAATTATCTAATACACTCTATGGCCAAAGATTTGTGGACACCTGACCACCACACCTAGCCACTTGTTCAAAAGTATATTGACTCCCCTCTAAATTATTGAGTTTAGGTTCTTCCAGTGAAGGGTTCTAGAAATACTACAGCATGTAAAGCAAGTTAAGACAATTGTGTGCTTTAAACTTTGTGGTAACATTTTGGAGAAGGTCATTGTTTTCCACTATGATTGCACCCTGGTCAGAAAGCCAACTCCGTAAAAACATTGTTTTGAGATGGGTTTGATGTGTAGGAACTGGAGTCACCTCCACAAGGCCATGACCTCTACCCAGCTGAACACCTTTAGAAAGAATTGAGCCAGGTCTTCCCATCCTACCTCTGTGCCTGACCTCCCAAATGCTCTTTTGGCAGAGTAGTCCAAAATTCCTTCAGAGATCCCTCAAAATATTTTAGAAAGCCCTCACAGAATATTGGAGGCTGTTATAGTAGCAAAGCCATGGGGGGATTTCAACATTTGCCCATATAGTTAAGGTCATCTATATAGGTGCTTATACACAAGCTGCTGGCAGTTTTCCAGAGTTTAATTCTCTAATTTACAGTTGCATGAGATTAGGGGAAACAATGATTTAGACATAAATTTGCTATTGGTTGCTGTACATTTTACATCATCACTGATAATGAGAATGCTTCACTGAACAAGTCTTTGCAACTTCTGTAGGGAAAACAGTAGCCAGTGCACCAGCAGTGTAAATAAGTATTGCATGATGTATATTGGAAAGCAAATTTTTCAATAAGCTTATCAATATCATAAATCATACTCCACATTAACGTTACATAAAGATGGAAAATGCATATATTTAAAAACATCACATATGTAAATTTGTGTTTCTTACAAAGTAGTGAATATAACACATTTTGCATTAGAATAATATATGAGGTTCATGTATACGAAGAAGATTATTGTTACAGGCTTACTTGGCATGTCTTTTTTCATCATCGAGGGCCAGGTTGGCCACATAGCCCTCAAGGTACTTTTGTAGTTCAGCATATGTTCCAACTGTCTGATTAAATGTCCTGAAATAATGCAGTATTATAATATTATAGCCAAAACAATCGCATTGGTACATAAATAATTTTAAAACGGACATGTGCCTTTCTCATTCATGGCAAAGCAACAGGTTTACTTAACTGCCGACCTCTCCAGCTGCACATACCCACATTACTTGGACTATCCACCATGTGGATTTAAGAGAGGATGCCTGAGTTGCCCATCACCAAGGGACAGTGCTGTCACATGGCAGGAAGAGAAGTCACATGTTCCTCAGTATTGCATTATGATTTTATGCCCCAGCAAAGTGGCAGGGAAGTAAAGGAAATTTAAAATTGTGAATCTGGGGACAGTGGCAGTTAAGTGGGATAGTGGCCATGCCCTGCATGGCAAACACTTTCCCCATGTAGGACAATGCATTTTCAGCTGCATATATCTTCTTTGCTTTCCTTTGCTGTACCACTGCACCATGTGATCCTTGTGGAACAAAGTAGTTCCGAGCCTCTCCCTGCCCCCTTCCCCCCACCTTGACAGCAATGGGCCAATTACCAAACATCAGGACTGTAACATTGGGTGAGACACATGCTCCTCCTCCATATCCAGAACATCTATTAACATGTATTTTCTTTGCTCCCAGCAGCTGAATAGAGTAACAAAGGAAAGAAGGAAAGATAAGTGCATGCTGCTGGGAAGAGAGGCATTTTCCTGCATGAACAAAGCACAAGTTTGCTTTGAGGTCAAATAAAACTTAGGTGCTTCTTCATAAACTTAAAAGAAGCAGTGGTGTAAGTTCAGAAATCACATTGGATACAGTGATACAGAAACAGGGGTTCAAAGTCCAGCCCCTAAGAAATCCCTGCATATCTTTGTCTTTTGACACTCAACTTCTTTCTGATGCTTGTGGTTATCCACATATTCTTTACTGCCTTGACCCCCATTTCCAACAAGGTGTGAGCCAACCAGGTTAGATAGACTAACAGTTTGTATACAGTAAACAGTATAAAAGTTTGACTGACATTATACCAAAATAAAACTATCATAAAGGAACATTACATTAAAAATATGCAGATATAAATAAATTATTTTATATATTAGAGTTAGAACAATTATTTGAACACTTTTTACATGCTTTTTAATACATTTCTTTTTCTAAATTATTAAAGGGTTTGTTTTTTTGGGAAAGGTTCTCTAGTTTAGGAGCTTGTTCTACAACACCTCCTGATATGTGTGTCCTTCCTTGTATCATAACCTACACTGTCTAATTATAAAAATGAGCCATACCATATATCTGTCATAGCTGTTAGTGGACAGAAACTATCCCAGAAGAAAAATTGGTACTTACTCTCGATCCATGACTAAACATTCAACTCCATCATCATCATCTGCAACAATGTTAGCCGATCTGACATCATCACTTGAGGCAAAAAAAGACAGATTGCTTAGATATCTATTTTTACTGATACAAAGGGGTTGATTCGCTAACAAAATCAAGAATCTTTAAAAGTTCACTTAGCTTAGTGATTAAAGAGAACCTGTGGCCACTTTAAATAGCCAGTAATGTGCATGGGAATTGAAAAAAAAAAAACAAGATTTCATTTGGAACACTCTTTACACTGCAGTCTGGACTGCAAACAGCAAAATAGCTGATAAAGAGGACTCAGCACACAGCAGTCCAGACAAGTCGGAGGGCGAATCTTCCAACTATCCCCTTGGGAAAGCCTTCTGCCTTGGCTACTAGAGATGAGCTAAACATACCTGGTTTCAGTTTGGAGGCGGGTTCAGCAAACGTTACTTAAGCCCAGTTGCCGGAATTGAACTCCATTGAAGTCAATGTGGGCCGAATCTTAAAAATCAATCATGGCTATTTTCTTTCTTAGGCTGTGGTATGTCCCTCAGCATCCTCACATCTAATACAAGTGGATGGACTGTATTAAACGTGATGATGTCCAGGGTCGGCCTTAGGCCTTTAGGCGCTCTGTGCGAGAAAGCTCTACAGCACCCCTCAGTAACCACACCCCTCAGTGGTCACACGCATTTCTCCAATATCCGCACCATTTAAAGCCTCGCATTTTTTTAAGCCCCAAAGAAACATATTAAAAAGTATGATAAAATAAAACTTTTATTTAAAGGCATTAAACTTGTAGGCACAATATAAGTATTCTTATTAAATAAAACAACAGAAGGCAAACAAGTGGTAAACAATAAATGTCAAACTAAAATAGAGCCTATAAAAATAAAGTGTCACGGTGTCATGCAGACCCTTTTTTCAAGTAAGTGTATCTAGAAAAGTAAAAATAAAAAACAGAACAAAAAACCTAGACTACATGTAAATTAATGAATTACTATTTGCCCGAATATACGAAAAATGTATTCAGGCACATAATGATTTGTTTGAGAATGTGCGGCGGCCATGTTGCCCACCGGCGCGTTCTGCGAATGCGTGCCACCATCTTGGAGGCGGGGAGCATGATGTCACATGACGCCATGCATGCGTGGCGTCAGGTGATGTCACACACCGATATAGGCGCCGGCATCTTGGTGGCGCCCAACACGTGCGGTGTTATATGACGTTATGCGCCCTCCAGAACACACCAGTGGCTGAATCAAAAATAGCAAAAACATTTGTTTTGTTTGATGAAATGAATGAAAGCGTTTTTAGTTTTCGTTCATTTCATATGAAATTCATTTTTAACCGTTGCACATGTGTGTATGTGTGGGGGGTAATTTTCACTTTTTTAACCCCTTCATGACTGAGCTTGTTTTTAGTTTCTGTATTTTTTTCCAGGGGGGCGCCACCCCCCCTTCCCCCTGCAGGCTTCAGCAGACAGTTTCTCCTTGGAACCGAGGACAGCGATGAAGCCGGCGGGCGGACAGGGGGAGGAGGGAGTGCTGTCATGTCGGATGGTCAGCGGTGTGGAGAGAAGCCGCCCCGAGGACGAGCTGTGTCAGACGCCTGTTGCCATGGCGCCCTGTACGGCCGCACAGCTCGAACACCCCAAAGGCCGGCCCTGATGATGTCATCAGGGCTTAGACTGCCAGAGCCCATGGGGATAAGGGGCTGCATGGACCAAGCTAGCAGCCTGGCGAGATCGGGATTCAGGTAGGTATATTTCTTTTATTTGTGCCCCTTGCCCAAAATAAGCGGGCTACCCCCACACCACAAGGGTTCACTTTTTAGATTCTTGGAATTCCTCTTTAAAGATCACAAGCTATGTTATGAAACGTGTTGCCACTGTTTGGCAATTTGTATGAAGTCGATGGTTTTAGCTTTATTTTTTCAAGTATATACCTTTCAATAGCTCTGTTGTGTCTGCTACTTCATTGATCAACTTTGGGCTACCATTGCTACATAAAAACCGGGTGTCTTTACAAAAACTACCCTAATAAAGACTTTTGTTTTGAGTGAAAACAAAATTATTAGACATGCAATTTATTTTATGCCAAAATACAGAGTCACTGATGCTGAGAATTGTACACTTCAGTAATGTCATATGTAACTTAAAGGCATATCTAAAGCATGCAATTTGAAGTAATGGTGTTTTTCTCATGTCTCTCTTGAAGTCGCATAAAATGGAGGGGCTTGCCCTGGTATACGTCATACTGACAGGGGTGGGGTTTTGATTATTGTTCCCGTTTGCTAATTTTTTGTCCAATTAATCGATCCTAGGCACATTTGGCTCATCAATATTCAAACAAAACAAAGAGTGGTAAATATGTAAGTATGTTGCAGTGGGCTAGATAGCAAAGTGACTGTTTTTTTTTTTTTTTTTATGTGAAAGCACTTTATAGTTTTGATGAAGAAAAATAAATAGCATGGATAACCAGGAACAAGCCAGAGGTCAAGATGGGTAGCAGACATGGACACAGATTTTTAAAAGGACACCATGGCTCCAGTTAGACTGCTACCCACACAATAGGACACTGGTTAATGAAGGGAGCCCAGAGGTGGGGATCAATGTGTAACAAGTACAAAGTCCAATGAGTGTGCTAGACAAAAGGTTTAAGAGAGTTTCAATTCCTTTAATATTAGTACTAGTGTACAACAGGATAATACAAACAGCTGATGCCTTCCAGGGGCCAAAAAATCTCCCCTTTCTTTAATGCTAATATGTTGTAAATAGTAGAACTCAGAGATGAAATAATCACAAAAAAAAACAGAGAAAAAAACAGAAAGTCTAAGGAAGTGTGAAGTGTCACTGCATGCGCAACTATTTGTATGCATTTGTATTATGCCTATTCACTGGTGTGAAGAAAGTGTTTCACATTCTGTGTGGGTCTGTCTGTGCACATGGTGTACTCAGTTTTAAGTGAGATATTGCCTCCTATATTCTTATCAACACATTTTACAGAATTAACTATGAAATCATTATTGTTTGACTTCCTCTGAGTTTATGGGAGCATTACAGGGGACACTGGCCACATACAATGGCCAACGATTTACTTAGCCATATTGGCTTTGTTTTCGATCTTTTGCTTTTGTTCCCTAGCGGTACACACCTGGTAATAGCATTTTTTTATTTGGTCTTGAAACAGTCCCACTTCTGGTCCAAGTTTAGCTTATCAAATAAGTTATCCCAATCAATTTCACCCACTATATTACGCAGTTTATCAAAGTTCACCTTCCTGAAGTTTCACAATAGCCCGTACAGCTCCCGATCACGGCCGAGCAGCTCAGTCGAGCGCTGAGCCGTGCTGAAAGCCGAAGCTGGCCGAGCGGCCGGCCATTGGCAGGCCGACAGCCTGCTTCTGACAGTTGGGCAGAGCCAGCCGT